CCTTTCCAGGGTGCCTAACACCCTGCTGCTACCACACACAAGTAATTCCTCCCTGAAATCCTCAGTGTCCTCCAGGGAGAGTTATAAAGAGGCAGGTAGAGCAGGAGGACACCCCTCAGAGGAGGAAAACTAGCAAATGCCCTGATGCCATGGCCACGGGCACCTGACCGCAACTTTCCCCCCTAGTTAAGTCAAGGCTGTTAGTTGTAATGCAACTGTTTCGTCTGTACCTCAACCCAAAATGCTTAACAGCCTTTCCTTGCTGTAGAAATACAGCTCCCTGTTACCATCCCAGGCCTCCCAGAACTGAATCCAGCGGCTGTTTCACAGCTCTCCAGTAAAAGGTAGGAACCAACTACTTGTATCTGAGAAGGGAGGAGAAAATTCAGCCTCTCCTGGCTGCAAAACCAGGGAAGCTAAAGCTGCAGAGTGTCCCCTCAGGGCACTTCTGTGGAAGTGGTCAGGAAGCTCCGAGTTTGATGGTGTGTCAGGAAGACATCATCTCCTGCAGCTTTGAGCACAGCGAGGGGTCCGCTGCCTCACTGTTAACCCAGAAGCAAGAAACCTCACCTCCCGAATTGCAAAGGGCACTTGCTGAATCCCCTCCTCCCTCAGGAGGTGTTTCTCAGAATTGCTGACCCAGCCTGTCTCCTGCATTCCTTGTGAGAGCTGACAAAAGCACAGCTTGAGCCATGTGGTTGCCGACCAGGGGCAGACACCGAATGTCTGTGGACCAGCATTTGTACACTGCAGCTTGGAAACAAAATTAATTTTCTGGCATTAACTTCACAATATATATATAAAAAAAAATCCTTTTCACTCCTTCAGTGGAGTTATTGATGCTGATATGACTCTTGCAGGGTGAAATATAAACCTCTGATTACATCAGGGCTCTATGACTGACTTTCTCCTCTGATTGCTGGCAGTAGGATTTGTGACGTGCATTACAGACATAAATTGCTCTCTGTATTGTAAATACATAGTGCATTTTAATGATCCCTGCTGTATGTACATGTCTTTAGTAATAGGGCCAATTGAAAACCGCTTCACAAGGCTGCTATTGGTATCTTTGCAATAAACTCCTCATCTCTGCCAGCCAATAAAAGATGCATTAGTTCTGGGTGTCCAGAAATCCAGCTCATGGGATTGAAAGTCGAAGAATGCTTCATCTGTGACCCTATAAATGAGAATGACTTTTTCCCCCCCCCTCCTTCAACATCCATTTTAAAATTAGATAATGCAGATACTTTAAGCGCTTTCCAGCAAAACATCTTCACAAAGCTGTCCACAGAGGCATAAAATCCTGGGTTTGCCTGAATCCCACTTGGGGTATGGCCATACAGAAGAAAATGACCTTGGGGATGAACTGTCCTGCTCGGGAATAAAAAAAATAAATTGAGTGTCTCAAAACTCCTGCTAAAAAATCCACTCAGGTGAAATTAGGCACAAATGTGGGCAGATGCAGGCATAAGGTAGGCATAGCCAAGGTTCCTGGTTCACATGACACTCAACATATGCTCTGTCTTCTTCTTGAAGCTGCTCCACCCGAGAACAGCCCACTACCCCCTCTCAGCAGCAGAGAAACTCCCTCAGCTCAGGCCGAGAATGTCTCTCTACTTTCTGTGCCCAAACCCCCACGCTTGGGACTGTTACAGATATAACTTCCACAGCCCTCGGTATCTCTTTTTATCTGTCATGGAAACAACTCATTATTTTCTTGCCTTTATGTATTTAAGAGAGGATACAAACCCTCAGAATGGAAAAAAAAGAGAAGGGGTTTGCCCCCGAGCTGCGCAGTCAGCAGCCGAGGTGAGAACGAGCCGGAGCCTCCTGACAAGCCGTCAGATCCCCCCATCGCACCCTACCCAGATGGGTCTTGTCAGTGTAATGCGTTTGCACTTGTAAGACGATTTCCATTTTCATCCAGGGAGTGTTTTTTTGCTGGGAGCGGCAGTTTTCGCTGGTTTCTTGGCCCCGATACTGTTGAAATCGACGGTCAGGCAGTCGCCGACGTCCCCAGGGAAAGGCTGGATCCATGAAGCATAAGAAAAAGATATTAAAAATGGGCCTCATTTAGGAAGAGCAATCTGGGTTATGGGCTATGCAATTGGCTTGAAAATCCACAGTTTGTATAGACTTAAAGTATCCCCAAATTAGCAAGTTAAGCAAACTTCTGTGAGTGTTCCTGGAATATTTTGCTGGTATCTGAAACTCTCAGAGCCGTGTTCTTAAACCCTGTTGTTTGTTTGTTTGTTTGTTAAAGCAAGGGGCAATAGAAACCTGTTACCTCAGTTGTAAACAAGGACTATAATACCCCCCTTTACAAATATTATTGGTGGTTTTCAAACAGTGAAGTTTTGCGTTTAGCTCGGTTCTTTGGAACCAAAAAGCAGGTCGAATCCTTTTCTTCCCGAAGTGAGAAGAGATTTGCATTTACACAGGGAGAGATCTAGACTGAATGGAAGATTACTGTACCCATTTAAAGGCCGTGGTTTGCAGACCCGTCCTGTTTATCCCCATGACTGTGTTTGTACGGGAAGACTTGCAAAACTCTCAGTGTGCTCCTCAGCAAACAGTTGTTAGAAGAACTTCATGAATCCAGACAGCCAGGCAAAATAGGACTGAATCATGTGTGTAGAGCTGCTCAGATTTTTGAGACCCTCAACGTTCCTCCCAGCTCTTTTTTCTGATATCTCAGGACTTGCTTGGAGTCAGTCAGTAGCAAAGCAGGTATTTGAACCTGTGTCTCCTAATTGTTGCTTTCCAACTCTAAACCCTGAAAAGCATTCACCTTGTAGCTCGATGGCATAGGCTAGGTCAGGGAAAATCTGGATGCACCAGAATATGTCCTTCCCTGCAATTCAGCTGGATCCACAGCAAAACTAAAGTAGAAACCACTGTCCAGAGGTGTGACAGCAGTAGGTGTGTCTGGATCCCTCTCCCAGCCCAAGGACAACTCCTTCCCAAAATCCTCTGATAGTTGACAGCAAAAAAAATGCTCTACTTGTAGCACACGGGTGGAGTTGTGCAGCAAGTGGCTACAAGGAGATGTAAGTAACAGGGATGGGGCCTCAAACAGAAACAGATGGTTTTCAGGATTTCTAGTTCTGAAAAAAAAGTATTTAAAAGGCACTTCTTTTTTAGATATATTGGCTACTACTGTGTCACTTTGTGTATCGATGCCGTATTGGTTCTTTGCAGTCATTGACCAGAAGAATTTTCAAAATTAGGAAAAAAGAAAAAAAAAAGAGAGAAAACTCTTTTTTTTCCTATTGCAGTTTTCCCAACAAACAGCTGACAATTAGGACTGCACTTTTGCTTGATTGTTTTTTTTCCAGCATGCCTAGAAACTTCAACCCTCCCAGTTAGGCAGATCTGGGGGCCCACCTTTGACGTTCTGCAATCAGTCTCCTGTTTGCTGGTGGGCACTTTTTGCCTTCCCTCTATTCCTGTAGCTGGAAAGAGGCACCGTGCTCACACCAGCACTCGTACAGGGAGCTGCAGCTTGTTAAGGCTGGGAGCTGGAGCTGCGGCTGCTCCTGGAGCAGGGACTGGCCCCTGGGAGTGGAGCTTGAGCTGTTTGTTTGCTGGATTTCATATTCATTGCCATTCTGCCCTTGTTGTGGTTTTAACATTTGATGACCTAGGTATCTCAGAAGGCTGTTTTGCCTCAACAGGCGTGTGATGAATTGCTCTTAATTAGCTTGTGGAAATAATATAAGCCTGAGCATTAAGCGTGCTTTGTTAGGGTTTTGACATCTTCTTTTATATGTACATCTACAAATAAAATCAGGTAGATTAGCAGTCACTAGGAAATTGTTGTTGTGAGTCACTGAATCATAACTACTGTAGGCTGCCTCTCCTCATCTCTGTTACTCATGCCCGACTGTGGGCATGAGTTCATGGGGCTCTGGGGCTGGGGTTAACTGGGTCCACTTTGCCTCCAGGGACAGGGTTTGTCTCCAAACCCATCCCCATCATTCCATTTTGAGAAGTCAATTGGCTCCATGACAGCTCAAGGCAGAGTGTGAGCCAAACCACGGCAGTGGAGCTCACCTGGTTTGTCTTCAAGCACCAAATCCAGCCCTCCTGTGGCACCGAGGCATCCATGGGATGGAAGGATATAGGAACCTGTGATCAGACCTCAGGATCGTTTATCCTTCTGGCTCCCATTTAAATGCCAGCTGGTAAAGTCTAAACCTCAAATCTTTACTCTGGGTCACTAGTTTGTCTTCTTCAGGCTTCTCATTTCAAGCCATCCCTGTGTTCCCTGGATGCTGGAGGTCCCTATTCACTTAGGAGAGGGTAATAATTAGTAAAAGCTCATAGGAAACCCATTGCTGTGCTGTTGCACCCCAACAGTTGCCTGCAGGTAAGAGTGGCAATGAGCTGATGGGAGAAGAGGTGGAGAGATATGGGATTTTCATAAAATCACAAATTTCTAGAACGGTTTGGTTTTGAAGGGACTTTAAAGATGATTCATTCCCAGTACCCCCTGCTATTGGCAGGGGCACCTTCCACTATCCCAGGTTGCTCCAAGCCCCGTCCAACCTGGCCTTGAACAGCTTCCCTGAACAACCTGCGCCAGAGCCTCACCACCCTCACAGGGAAAAATTTCACCCCAATACCCCTATCTAACCCTGCCCTCTGTCCGCTCCTTGCCCTGTCACTCCGTGCCCTTGCCCAAAGCCCCTCTCCGGATTGTGTGGGTCAGGAGCGGCAGCGGCGATGCGGGAGCGCTCCGGCAGCGGGGGCGCAGCGCAGCCGGGGCGGGGGGAGCGGCTGCGGGGCCGGGGCCGGTGCCGAGCCCATCTCTCCGCCCGGCGAGCGGCGTTCCTAGCCCGGGGCGGGCGGAGGGTCCGCGGGGAGCGGCGCTCGGGGCGGGGCGGGAGGCGGGTCCGGGCGGCGGCGGCGGTGGCGGCGGGGCTGGGGCTGCTCAGAGCGCCCGGCTCCGCTCGCCTTCCGCGCTCCGCGGCTCCCAGCGCCTGGCTCCGGCCAGCATGGCCGCTCCGCCGCGCCGCGGGGCCGCCGCTCCACCCCCGGTGCTGCCGGTGCTGCTGATGCTGCTGCTGATGCTGCCGCCGCCGGCGGTGCCTCTCGGCGGCGGGCCCGGCGCGGCGGCGTCGCGGGAGCCCCCCGGCCCCTGCCGCGTGAAGACGGTGACGGTGTCCACGCTGCCGGTGCTCCGGGAGAACGACATCAGCTGGAGCGGAGCCCCGCCGCCCGCCGCCGCCGCCGAGTCCCGCCTGCTGCTCTTCGTCCGCAGCGAGCTGCCCGGCCGCGTCGCCGTGCAGGACGATCTGGACAACACCGAGCTGCCCTTCTTCACCCTCGGTAGGCGCCCGCCCCGTCCCGTCCCGTCCCGCATCGCATCCCGCCCCTCCATCCCGGATCAACCCCGAAGCATCTGACACCCGCCGCGCCGGCTCCGTGTCCGCCCTCCCCGCTCCGCGGGCGGCTGGATGTGTTTTGGGGCTTTCTAACCCTGCCCGTGCTGCATCCTGGTTTTTGGGTTTGGTGTGGGTTTTTTTTCCTCCTTTCCTGTCGGGGAGGGATTTTTTAGCAGGGCCTGTGGCTGCCGCCGCTTGCCAGCCCCGGGAGGAGGAGAGCAACCCCGGGAGGAGGAGAGCATCCCCGCGCAGGCTGGAAGTGATGGGGGCTGCCTCGTGTGCTCCAAGTTGAGCTCTGAGCCCCGAGGAGGTTCCGCCGAGCCTGGCAGAGCGGGAGGGGCTTTTTTTCTTGCCAGCGCCTGATTTTATAAATGCTTCGTCTTAATTCTCGAAGCTCGCTCTTGCTTCACGCGCAACTCCAGCGTTCTGGGTCTGTGCGAACGCCGCAGACTTTCCTCCGCTCTCCGCTTCGTGGGGAGGGGGATGGGATTAGAAATAATTCTGTGGTAGTACTTTGATCTTGATGCCGGATTCCGTTGTCCCGGATGGGGTGCCCGAGCTGCCTCTTGTCACTTTTATCTTTTCCTGTGCCCTAATCAGCCTGGGGATCCTCCAGGGGAACTGTTAAGAATGTCACCTGGGCAGCTCGGTGTTTACTCTGCCAGGTCACCGAAAGGGTTTTGTTGATCTCTGCTTTATCCATTAGCTTTCCTGGTTTTCGGTGTCCAAACCTAAGATAATTCGGGTACCTGCTTATCTTGGGGCTGAGATATCACTTGACACGCTGGGTTGTGACTTCCAGCGCATCACCCTGTGTGCCTCAGGTGTATCAAGGTGTGCCCATGTGCAGGCTGACCAGGGGACACCGATCCCAAGTCTCTTCCCGTACCTCGTGGAAATGATTGCCTTTCACTGGGTGCGATGAGCCAGGTAGGGAAATGTATGTCTGTGTCTCCCAGTCCTGTCATTTTACCTTGCGTGGAGCTTTCTCGTAGCAAATACCCATAATAAATAAGTTGATGGTACTTCTTGAGGCTTTCGGGCTCTGGCTTTGCAGATTCCTCGAGACACGGTTGGTCAACTGCAAAAATCCCATACAAAGCTGATACTGTATTTCAAGTAATAAAAGTGAGAAAGGGTTTGATGCAGTAGGGATGACGTTTACCATACAGCAGCTAAAAGTAACAAGAAGTTTCATGGTTCACTGAGTTAATTTTCAGATTAGAGTACAGTTTCTTCAGGGACTGGGTGTGAATTGCGCACTGATCTAAATATATCAGATGGCAAAGAAACCCCTCTGTGTGAGCTTAGATAATAGCTCAAGTTGGAGGAGAGAAATTTGTCTTGATAGATCAGAGACATGATCTTGTATAGCAAATCCTATTTCTGTGAGTGCCTGCCAGTAAAGGGACCATGTCTTTGTCTACAACATTCCCTTTTTCTTGCCTGGCATATTGGTTATGTGTGTACTCGGGAATATGAAGCATGTCTTGTGCAAATCTATGGGGGTTTTGCTGTCCCTTCATGCACTGAAGACCCCAAAACGTCCCCTCCTGTTTCCCCAAACCCACAGGCATCAGGCAGATGGGAAGATAAACAAAAGCTTTGCCCATGGTGGGATGGCTTCATCATGGTCCTGAAATTAATCAGCTCGTTGCTTCCAGAGAAGGTAAAACACTTGTCCTTCCCCAAGGTCTAGCTCATGAATTGCTCTGTATGTTCTGATATTTCAAATTTGTTGCATTTCTTCCCGTCTCCTGGAGTGGCAACTGAGTCTCGCTCGCAGTTAACTCTTCTCTGGGTGAGGGCTGTAAAGGATTTCTGCTGGCTGGTTTTTTTCCAGTGCAGAAATTAAGGCTGCAGTTTTCTGTGGTGGTTCCTTCCCCCCTTCATCCTTGTCTAAGTTCATCAGTGGGTGGGAACGTGAGAGCTGCCGCTGCCTTGTGATGGGCTCTTGGAGGTGAAAATCACGTTACAAGTGGGAGGGCAAGTTGAATGGCTTTGGAGTGACGTGGGGGAAGAGATTTCTCATTGGCAAAATCTTTGCTAGCCCTTATCTTTAGCTGATTTCTTATGATTATATCTATTTATGCATGTTGCTGGACGTGTTTAGTGGCTGTCTGGGCATGAACTCAGGAGGACACGTAAGAGCTGACATCCTGCAGACTGCAAATGTGTTGAGGGCTCCTAAATGCCTTGAAGTGCAGGATCTTGCTGTGAGCAAAGATCGTTTTCTGGCCTCAAGGGGGTAAGGATGGGGCAGGATGACCTCTTAAAGCACACAGCTCAGCACAGCCACCCTGACTGGCATCCTGGAGGGGTTTTTGAAAGGAAAAAAAAAAAAGAGGAAAAGAAAGCATAAAGCAGTCAGAGCAGAGTCGTGGTGCTGATGCTACAGACTCTGAAGTGAAATAAGTTGAGAGTATATTGAGGCCACCCCATTCTGCAGGGCTTAAAAATCTTTCCAGGTCAGGAGGCAGGAAATAAAACATTGCCTTGCATGGTGGCAGTGAGTTTAAGCAGCCAGTCTATAGCCTGGGTCTGCTCAGCATGTCCCAGCCTAGTAAGTCTTCTGACACTGGAGTGGTTGTTCTGCCTCTCGTCACTCCTTGGCATTAAAAGGAGGGTGGGAGATCTGTAGCTGAAGGCTGGCAGATGCCATAGCCTTGTCTGCAGCACTGTGGAACTTAGAGCCATGGAATCATTTAGGTTGGAAAAAACCTTTAAGATCATCAAATTCAACTCTAACACTTCAAAGTCTACCACTAAACAGTGTCCTGAAGTGTCATGTCTTCTGCTGATCCTTTTTGTGGGCAAACCAAGTTAAAATAGGCTGAGAAGATGGATGCTCTGAGTCGGTGTCTGGTACACATGCCATGCTCTGTGTCCCTTTTCTTTAAATAATTCCTCCTTCTAGGGAGAAAACACCTTTATCTCTTCCCTGACAATATGAGATTTTATTCACTTCAGTGCGTAAAGAGAGAGCTTCCAGTGTAACATCCCTGCCTGCGGGGCAGCCTGGTCTGCAGGAGCTGCTGCGTGGCTGAGACAGAGGAGAAAGCAGCACTGGGAAAGATCTACACATCCAGCCCTTGGCCCATGGCAGGCTGGCAACATCAGGAGCAGCAGGAGCAGCAGCCACTCGAGGCAGGCAGGAGCCCACTAGGGGGTGGTGGGTGCCCGGGGATGCTCCACAGCAGCTCCTGCTCTGTGTGCCTGGGGGGGCTCCTGACATCTGGGGAGCCCAGGGTGGGGATGGCTTTGCCCTCTCCCAGCAGAGGCAAAAAACTTTGATTCCTTGTGCATCCCTGCTGGGCTGCAGCGGGGACCTGCTGCCAAAACACCCACTGGCAGCTCCCTGTGCTCCGTGTCCCTCCTCCAGTGGTGTGTCTCAGCTTCTCTATTTCCTACGCCTCAGTTTATTTTTTCTCTCCTGCGTTGGAGACAAGAGGGCTGCTTCTCCCACTACCCCCAAGTTACGTTACTCTAAAATTACTCAGCAAAGCCCAGTGGTGGCAGGAAATGACAAATGTAACTCTGCCACCAGTGCATTATGAATCGCTGTGCATCCCTTTTCCTGAAAAAGCATCCTGCCCTTTCCTTAACCTTGGATAACAACTGATGCTTTGTGGTATTTTTTTTTTCCCCCTCTAATTCTTCTAGAGTTACTCTGGCAATTGGTGCAGCCTATCACTGGCTTTATTCTTGCACAATGAGGTCTCTCTAAGGTATGTATCTTGATTCAGTCAGCAGCCATGTGTTCTCTACAATAGCTGCTCCACCACAGCGTGGCCTGCTCTAAGTGCAATTCAGGGAATGAAGCAGTTAGCTTCCGAGCTAATTTAACTGAGCTCTGTCTATGTGTGAGCAGATATATATATAGAGGAGAGAAAAGGAAAGAGGCAGACGGATTTTCACCACTGCTCTTACCCCGTAGTGCCTTACATAAGAACAGTTTACTACACATGTCTCATAAATGGCTTAATGGATGCTGTTTGACAGCGTCTGCAGTGCTACAAGGTACTTTGTTTTGGTGGCTGTCACAAAACCTGCCTGTGTGTCTACATTCCTGGTGTCCCCCTGTGGCCCCGGTGTTTGGCTGATGATTGTCCTCCACTTCCCGAAGCTCTGCAGCTTCTCCAGCTCCTCACCAGTTCGGTGCCACTGCTTTTATCTTTTTTCTTAACTTTTCCTGAAGCCATCTTGGAACTTGAACTTCTCCTCTTTAAGGCAAGAATGTTGAGTGTTCAAGAAACGACTGGACGTGGCACTCAGTCCTCTGGTCTAGTTGACAAGGTGTTGATCGCTCAGAGGTTGGACTCGAAGATCTTGGAGGTCTTTTCCAACCTTAATGATTCTATGAATGCATTAAAATAAGGGAAAACACTCAGGGGACTGATTGTATTTACTGCTTTTCCTGAAAATGCTTGAGCAGGGTTTTGTTATCCTTGCTTTTATCACTCTGCTTTGTGCAGAGTGGGTGGAGAGGCTGGAGAGTTACCTGGGGAGCACAGGTATGAATGGAACTTACTGATGATGCTGCTCAGAAGTGCCATTCTCTGCTTTGGTTTGGCCTGTGGGATCTGGAGCACTATTGTGTGGGTGGCAGAGAGAGTGTGCCCAGCAAGAGACTTCGCTCTTCAGGACATGGCATCTAAACACGGGCTTGTCTCTGACCTCCCTTTGCATTAACTGCCTCCTGCAAGGCTTGAGCTGCTCTGTGGATCAGGCCAGAGGTTTGGTTAACCACGTGTTGGGGAATTTTTTTGTTATTTTTTGATTTTTCTGGCAATTTCCAACTTAATCCAAGGGGTAAAGAGTTCACATCTTCCACCAGGCGAGTCAAGGAAGCCTGAAAGCCTCAGCAAAGTGGTACGGTGAGAATGAGATGTGTTGATGAGCTCTTTGGGACAGGGGCAGATACAAACCTGAGGGTGGGGGCTT